GAATATATTAAGCCAAGCTTTTTAACATAAAGACCAACTTAACTGATGGAGCCACTAGCACTATACATTTATTAGATATTATTAGTTTTTTTTTTATTCTTTTAATACATTTTATGAATTTTTAGTTTTTTTTATTCTTTTAATATATTTTATGAAAGTTGTTGCTAGTAGGATCCTTTGATGCAGCACTAATAACACTTCAACCTATCAAACCCCATTTCTGATTCCTAATAAATAAATATGGAAAGTTTTGAACATCAATAGTTCAAACCAAAAAAAAAATCCTAATTTTTAGTATTATGGAACACACCCAAGGGATGTTAAAACAAAAGTGTCAACAAATCTCTCATAATAAGGTTAAAATTCAAATACACATTTCATCTTAAACTTTTAGAGTTCCAAGTAGGCTTTCATTATTTCAGTTTGGTCCTGTGACGAACATCTAACAAAACTTTATTTAATTACAGTTTAATTGTGATAAAATTTTGAACCATGTGTTGTAGTTCATCTTGCACACCGTTAACATCGGCTCTGATTTTATTTATAAAGGAAAAAATTCAAAGAAACCTTAGCATTCTTTTCCCTCTAAAACAGCAAATTTTCAAATAAATGAAAGTAAATTATTTAAGAATCATAGAAAACTTCAATTTTCATTGGTTTTTTGTGGCTCCAACTATTGTGCCACTCATATGACTCTAAAATTTTCAAACCAGGAACAATCACTAAAGTTTTTTAAGCAATCAGACACTAATGACTCTTAGTCTAGTTATAGAGCTCTGCATTGTGTCAACCACCAGATTGTGAAACAATTTATTCAAAGCAAACGAAAAAACATACATCAAAGTGGAAATCAGGATACTAGCTTAAAATATTTGTTGACAAATGTAATTGAAAATCATAAGAGGGTAAAAAAAGTAAGAGTGACATGCAACATACAAATACACATGCAAACATTAAGACGTGATCAAATACAGAAAATGCATACTATATGAAATGCATGCTATAATAAAATGTGTATAATTCTACTTGGATAAAAATGGAGGCCACATAATCAAGGAGATTCACTTCAAATAGTTTGCCAAAACTATACCAATTTTAGAAACATTCATCATGGAATCAATGGTAACAGATAAAGATGAATAATCCGAGTAAAACAGAAACAAAAATTATTTTTTACTATATATCGAAGATTATTTTTCTTTCATTTTGTCCTTGAAATATAATGATCATTATCATTATTAAATTTAATGTGTAGTGTATATGCCTGGAACTTGACAAACACAATTTCTTATCCAGTGAAAAAATGGATATGTGCAGTATCAATTTAAGCAGAATTAAAATAGAGAGAAAAAAAGGGTAGATCAAATATTGAAATGAAATAAATGGTCAATGTTTCTAGTTAAAATTTGTTGCTTTTTTAGTAACCTGCCAAATGCCAATAAAAATAGTGGTATCACTAGATAACTCTTCATAGTTTATTTATTTTATACTTTTCAGAAAAAAATAAAAGAAACGCAAAAGCGAAATCTTAAAATATTTAATTATACTTTCCTTCTATAGCCTCATTAAGTTAAAAATTCCGAGTAAATCAAAAAAAAAAAAAACTCATGCTGAATAGGGTGATGGCAGGCCATCATATCCTACCTTTATTATGCCCTTTTCTGATTCTGTTCCATTTGTATAAGGAAGGCTTTTAATTGTAAATATATAATAATGTTACAGATGCGATGTATATAGATGCGATATATCTATCCCCGTAATTTCCGACGTGGAAAGTGTTAGACACACAAAGTGGATTTGCCGAGGCTTGCAACTTTTCTCTCTATATAATTCGGAATTCAACAAATACTCAACCACAACAAAGGAGTGAGGAAGTATACGAACTTACGGTTTTCTGCAACTATGGAGAAGAACAACGGCAAAGTCTGTTGGATTTGTGATAAGAGGTTCTCCGGTGGGAAAGCCATTGGAGGCCACATGAGATCTCACTACGTCAAATTGTCAATTCCTCCAAAGCTTGAAACTAAGAATCAACCACTAGCCAATTCAACCGATTTAACCCAGCATCCAATTTCTGCTTCCTCACTGACTAGCCATCCCGAAGAAAACCAAACAGAGATTTTTCAACCTATGAAACGCAACTCCTCTGCCTTCTCTGCAAACTCAAACAGAGGAGACAGATCTGTACCCTACCCACAAAGCCCAACCCGCAAGAGATCCAAATGCCACCGCAAATTTAATGCAGCGGACGATACGGAAGCAGTTGAGGCTCTCTGTTTGCTGTCCGAAGGGGAGCCAAAGAGCTGTAGAGGAGACTCGCTTGCTCAAGCTGACTCTCAAACCAGGTTCAAGTGCAATATGTGTGGAAAAATGTTCCAATCTTACCAAGCTCTTGGTGGGCACAAAGCAAACCATAGCAAGACTAAGAATCTGGGCCAGAGTGGTGGATACCCACACTCGTGTTGAATAAGTCCCCGGCGATGATCCCTTAAGTCTCACAAAGTAATTGTGAAGATAGGAAATTGCACACTTAATTTTTCATTATGTACACAGTCTTCCGCTGTGTTCCGTTCTGAATGTTAAGAACAATATTTGCTTTCAATCATTTTAAGTTTTAAGAATTTGACATTGTGGGTTTATATTTATGTAAGAGAGATCTTTGTTTTGATTTTCGCTTAAGTGTTTTTGTTAATTCATGCTGTCCAGTGCTATCAATTGCAGATCGCGGTAAATAGCGGTTTCCTCAAACTCCGTTATGCAACAGTGCTATAACGCCTCTTTAGTCACTATCTGACAACATTTTATACTAAATAGCATGTCGCAGAACAATAGTGATTAGTTCAAATAAAGCTACACTACAGCACTGCTGTTACAGCGTCAATAATCATATTCTCTTTTGTTAGCACATGTGTGATTTTAGATCAAACTTCATCAGCTTGTACTCTGTTTTTGAATGTTAGTTAAAATATATGAAGCCTAGGATGACTGGCTTCTTAATCGTATGTTAGAAACTCTCTAATTTTCACAAGGTTTGTACTTATGAACAGTGTTATTAAATCGAAGCCATGGCATCATAATAACAAATGGCACGGCAGAATTTTCGACAACCGTGTTAGGCAATTTGTGAAGGGATGACCACTATTGCAGCGCCATAGGTCACAATGGTGCGTTTATATAGTGGCTTTGGCTTTCCGCCAACAACAATACTGCTTATGAAATATTACTCCCCACACTATGGTTTAGACCAATCAAGCACGGATACTCTAAAATCTATGCCGTGCCGTATCCGACGTACCGATATGCCGATATGCTCCGATACGCCACTGATACCTATCGAAGGAGTATTGGGATTTTTTATTTAAAAAATAAAAAATTCCGATATGTCGCGATACGCTGACGACACGTCTCCGATACGCTGTGGATACGGCCAGTTATTCCCATGACTATTCATATTTCTAGGACATGAATCAATCTTCCTCCTCCTTAATTCTTCTTTTCTCAACTTTAATTACCTAATCACTTTCATTTTTTCTATTACAAGAATCAAACTTTTTCTTTAATTACTTCTCTTTCAACTTTAACTATTTTTTTCTTTTTCTCACAATTCCTTTAGCAATTATTATCAAATTTTGCAAAATCAATTGAATTTTGTTCGAGAATCATTTAACTAATGTTTAATTTTAATTTTTTTTTATATATGTTATCTTAAACGTACCGTATCCTAGATTTTTCAATTACTAACGTATCTCCGTATTGGATACGTATCGTATCTGATACTCGTATCGTGTCCGTGCTTCATTGGTTTAGACTAATGGACTTATATTTTATATAATGTAGTAACACACATCATATATAACTCGTTGAACAACAAAAGTAAAAGTTCTTTGTTATTATAACCTTGTGGAAGCATTGATATGATTACAAGTGTTATCTGTGTATTTCAAATTTTGATACGAAAACATCAAATTTCTAGGAATCGAGGAAGAAAAGTTTTGTTTAACTTTGGGTTGAACCTTAGGAAAGGTTCAGCGCAAATGCTCTGATATGGCTATCTTGGAGAGAAACTAAGCCTTGATTTATTATCCCTTTCTCAAAGTCTCATAGCTCATGTGATAGTTTCTGTGACACCATTTATGGCAAAAAGGCCAGACATAAGAAATACCTCAGAAACCATGATCAGACAAAAGAGGTATCAGATCTATCTCCAAAGGTATTAGATATTCCCCTGTTATTCCAAAACTAACAAAACAGGGATTTGGGATTGTGCAAAAGTTTAACACCCTCTAATGGGTCCTAGGTAACTGAAAAAAGATGCGGCGGAAACTGTAAAGATGGAAACTGGCTTAAATAATAAAATGGGGAAAAACGAGAAAAAAAAACCCAAGCGGTTTTGAAGGCTGAATGGAATCATATAACAGTATAGCGCCACTAGATGATTCTTAAAGCTCCTCATGTGCATCTCCGTGAATATATTAAGCCAAGCTTCTTAACATAAAGACCAACTTAACTGATGGAGCCATCTTTTAGAGACCGCTCGAGTGATTTTTGTCTTCTAGGGACAAATTTGATCAATTCCTTGTCTTTTAAAGACCAAAATAATTATTGGTATTATTCTCTAACATTGCCGCACTATTATGTATGTGGATAATATTGCCTAACATTCTCTTGAAACATACTACTTTCCGATTCTTTATACAGATCTTGGACACAAGAAAACTCTACAAACTCGATAGCACGTCGTCATAAATTTATTTGTAACTCTTCTCATATCATTATTCACCCTTTTTTATGAAACTTAGGAACTTCCATTTTATTTCACATTAACACATTAGTTAGCAACATGCCAATGACCAATCCAGCAATAAGAAATCCAATACAAGTATATAACAATCTCGTCTAGTCTTCTATCCTAGGGTTGAACACATAGCATACCATATGCAACATATATTATGCTACTGGTCACTTTAACAATCAAAACGATGAATCAAACAAATACTCACCTTTTGCAAAGTGTGGCCTTACTTTGATATGCGATAGCAATAACATTCTCATCTGCAATTAATTGCGATGCTTAGTGGTCAAAACAAAAATAAACTCAGCTTAATATAGTACATGTATGTGTATTTACTCATACAATATAAAACATTCTTAGAATGCATGTTGTTCAAATTACTAGCGCCGTTAATTGACAAAACTTAATATTAGACATAAATAGCATATCGCACAACAATAGTGCTTTGTTTAAATTCCACTACAATATTGTGCTGCTATAGTAGTTATTTACTATGAAGCTGACACCAGAAACACGACACACGTCGACACCGATAATCACCGATAATGATTTGAAAAAATAAATTAACGTAATCACAAGTGTTGGTGTCACGACAAACATTTTTTTCAGATGTGTAGCTGCTAGAGAGGTTAATTAACAACACCGGAACTAATCATAATAATAGGTCAGAGAGAGAACGTTACCAGTGAATCGGGAACTGTTGAATTCCAATAAAATCTGAGTTATCTACAAAAGAGAAGAAAGAAAGGATTAACAAAATGAGATTTGAATTGCTTGAAGAAATAAATAGTAATAGTAAGCTTCTATAACCTCAGGATCGCGGTGTGGGGTTGAGATCTGATCAGCTGCGACGCCTTTTGCAGAGGCGGCTACGGCGGCCGTAAATCGCGCCGAATTCCCATCTTCGGGCGCGCCACGGAAGGAGAGAGGGAAACCCAAATTTGTTGAGGATACCCCTACGCTTGGGGCTGTATAATATCTATCCACTTTTTTTCCGTGGAAAAACAAAACTAGTAGTAACACTACTAATACTCCTAAAGTTTATTTTCTTCCTAAATAAGTTGATTTTTTTTATTTTGACCCACATAAGAAAAAAAAAAAACTTAAACACAACTTTTTTAAAGTGGTTTTTACTTATTTTTTTTAAAGAAAACTAGTAAGAAACTCGTGTTATCGCATAGGTCCTGTCTGGATTCACATTACACGTATATTAAATTACTCTTTGTAAAGTATGAATTTATTTTTTAAATTAGTTAATATTTTCATACTTACAAATATAAGCTAATAACATGCACTTGCATTTTAAGCATTGGTTTGTACTTATAATAAATCATACAACTGATTCTCTAACTTCAATTATATTAAACAGTAGCAAAAAAAAATTTAAAAGATGAATATTAAAATTAATAATCTAAAGTTAGTATCTACCCGTGAATTCATATGAGTTAACAAACCCTAGTTGAATTCAAATGAGTTAATTCTAAAAATTTATTAAACCTATTTTAGATATTAACATATTTTTACAAACCTAAAATATACGACAGCTTCACGTCAAATTACAAACCTAAAACCTTCTTATTAGATTATATTTATATTTTTTACAAACATAAAATATTCTTTTTCATGTACTTTAATTTTTATATATTTATAATAGATATAATAATTATGTTTTGAAATTCAAAAATCAATGTGATTTGATATGATTTTAATGTTTAAAGAAAAGACATTAAAAATTATTTGATAAATAGTACTTTATAATTTTCATAATTTTGAAATTTTAAATTAACATTATTTTAATTATTTAATAGAATTTATTTAAAAATTAAACAAATATCTCATGTTATTTATTAGATTTAAAATACAAAACAAATTACCTTTAAATTTTTATGATAAGAGGTTAATTCAATTTTCTTGTTTCTTATACCATGTCATAATCCATTAAACATATGATTATTTTAAAAAGATTTATAAAACAAAATTATATATAATTAATTAAATCAATTTTTATAAAAGTAATATAATAGATCAAAAGATTTTCTGTTTTAGATCAAAACAAGTTTTAAAAAATCAAATCGAATTAAATTTTATTAATTAAAGAGTCAATTTTTATGCTTTGAAAGTTAAAAATCAAAATTATCAATGTTTAATAGAAAAATAAACTCTTTAATAACAAAAACACCAATCACGTTAATCTGAACTAAAAAAAATATGTTTCTCGTTTTTTTTTAATATAATAATTTGAATGTCTTCCTCTTAACTTTATAAAAATATATGAATCATTAAAAATAATATCGTTAAAATTGACATTCATAATTCTTTTTATTTGAAGTTAAAAGTAATTAAGGAGTGAATAATCGATAATAATTGATATGATTTTATTATTGATACAAAATTAAAAATTTAGATGATTAATTGAATCATAGTTAATCTTAATTTTCATTATTCACTCGAAAATTAAAATAATTTATAATATCAAAAATTAAATAAACTGTATTAATTTCAGATACCATTAAATAATTTTAAAATAAAAATTTAAATTGATATTAATATCGGTTTATATAAATTTAATGTGATTTTTTATGAATTAAATTTAATTCGGTAAATAGTATTGAAATTTGTATCAAATTAATGATACTAAATTACTAATGCAAAATACAATTATATAAAATTAATATAGTCACTTGATTCTAGTTTTTTAATGAACTAGTAACAAACCCGTGCTATCGCACGGGTCTCGTCTGAATTCACATTACATTTATAGATTATTAAATTATTAAGTATGTTACCATGTTTTCAGTTGAGTATATGTCTCATGTAAACCATGTTGGCATTTAACTCCATATTTGTAGCAAGCGTCGGTCCTATCAACAAATCACGTCTGCATGAACAAATAGGAAAAATTATATACTTCTTGAAATACATGGAAAATGTACATACTATATATTTTAATTTAAAATAGATTTTTAATTTGAATCGTAAAGTATAAGATATAAAGTTTACCAACTATCAAAGTGCTTGAAAGACTTCCTTGTACACAACATTAGTAGTAGTAGAACACGGTACATTCTCCTTGTCATGAATTAGGATTTTTAGCCCACTTTTGCTCTTAACTCTTGAAATTGCAACATATAATTGACCATGACTAAACACAGGAGTAGGCAAATACAATCCAACACTATCAAGAGATTGACCTTGTGACTTATTAATTGTCATTGCATAGGAGACAATAATCGAAAATTGTCTCTTAATCAACTTGAATGGCCAAGGTGAATCAGAAGGTGACATAGACATTCGTGGAATGTAAAAAATGTTACCTATGTTCTTTCTAGACATGATTTTTGCCTCAATGACATGATTTGCAAATCTTGTAACAATTAATTTTGTTCTGTTGCACAACCCATCGGCTTGGTCCAAATTTCTCATTAGCATAATAGGTGTACCAACCTTCAATTTGATCCTATGATTGGGAAGCCCTGACGTTCTTAATTTACTGAGAAATTCAGGAGTTAGAACTTCATATGCTTCAGTATAACTTGAATTTATTCTATCAATGGAATCAAAACTCAAATACTCTTTCTCTTCTCCTAAAAAAAAGTTTAAAAGCAAAACATAAATAAATTAGTAAAACTATGTTCTTATATATATATATATATATATATATATATATATATATATATATATATATATATATATATATATATATATATATATATATATATATATATATATATATATATATATATATATATATATATATATATATATATATATATTATAAATGTAATAATACAGTAAATATAAAACACATGTACCTGGTATCAAGTCTAATACATAATGATTGATTTTGTCCACAACTTCAATGGTTGAAGCAAGAATAGCCTTTCCTTGTAAGAATTCAACATCTTGATATTTTTCCAACAAATTGGGATATGTGTTTTCAACAATTGCTCTTATAGGATCATCAAATTTTGATATTAATAGCTCTTGAGGAATTTCAATATCAACCAAACCATCATTGGGTTCACAAATCTTACCATCACCCACATTTAAAATCCATTTTGAAAATTCCGCTAGTTCATTAGAACTTGTGTTGTCTCTTCCCTCTTGAAGTCTCATATTTTTTGATAGTGTTAAAACCTGGCAATAATCCCATACATAAGATGAACTAGTTGATGCATGAACAATATCAGAATGCCCAGCTCTTGGAACAACAGGAAGAATCTGTCTAAAATCTCCTCCAAATACAACAACTTTTCCACCAAAAATAGTATTCTCAACACCCTTTTTGCTCATTACATCTTTAAGGGTTTTATCCAATGCTTCGAAGCAGTTCTTGTGAGACATAGGTGCCTCATCCCATATTATCACATTCGTTGCTTCAAATAATTGAGAATGTCCGGTGTCTTTGTCGATGTTGCAAGTTGAGTTGTCAAGCATTGGCACATGTATTTTGAACTTTGAGTGTGTTGTTCTTCCACCCGGCAATAATAACGAAGCTATCCCACTTGAAGCAACAGTAAGAACAATTTTTTTTTGAGAACGAAGTGCACTTGATAGTGTTCTCCACATGAAAGTTTTACCAGTACCTCCGTAACCATGCAAGAAAAATACCCCTCCACTCTGTTTGTTAACAGCATCCATGATTTTCTCAAATATCAAATGTTGTTCATCTATAAAATACAAACCAAGAATTATAAGTGCAAGGACAATAAAAATAATTTTTGTAATTCATAGTATAAAGAAAATAAATCACCTGTAAGGGCGTGAAAAAGTTCTTGGAATTTCTGTTTCTCGGTATCGGCATCGTAATTAAGTTCGTCATAAATAAGCCTATTGCCAACATGTTTTGTGATGTATGAATCTGGATACGACATACATTTAAATTCATGCAAACTTCTTCGATTTGATTGCATCATGTTCTCAATCTCAATTAGTGTGATATTCTTTAACTCATTGTCCGATAGCTGCAATTCTGTTAAAAAATTTTCATTAGTTTTCTATATAATTACATATGTATGATGCAACTGCTGTCGTGATGTTGAAATACATTGAACATAAATCAAACAGTTGATGTTGCGGCTGCGTGAAATTAAATGGAACCAAAGACACTGTTGCAGCTGCAAGTTAAGAAAATAACTTACATACATGACAAATGACAAATATGAAAATGTTTCTTACGTAAATGGACATACCTTATGAAACATATTAAATAAGGGACATATGGATGAAGAATAATTATATTTTAAAGTAAGTTCATATT